AACGATCAGACAGAGATTTCCTTACATGCCCCAAACCAGTAGGTCTTTCATCCTTTGCTGATGGGATCTGCGTGTGTTGGGACATGCCTTCAATACTTCAGCAGTTTGCAACTCTGACTTAGCTTTCAGTTCCTGCCTAAGCAGGACCTCAAGGTCAGCCAGGGATGCCTTCTCAGGACTTTCTGGGCACGCACACAATCCTTCAAAGCCCCTTATGTCTAGACTCCCAGGAATGGACTGAAGCTTTTCAAAGTCCCCTGTGGACATCTTGATGCCCAGATTTCCCTTTATGGTTTTTGGCCAGCTTCTTGTTTGTCCCAGCTGGTGTTTCTGCCTCAGGCCACTGTGATATTAAACAATTGCTGACACCTTTTTTTTTTTTTTTTTTTTTTTAAACAAATGCCCTAGTGTTAGGACTTTCCTCACTGAGCAAGTTCTGAATGAGGTCAAATAAAGTCCCATAAATGAACTTTTCCAGGGGGCTGCTGGACAAGTCAAATAGCGACAATTTTCTGGGGATGTGGCTTTTTGGGGAGCTCTGAGCCTGTTGGCTTCCTCTGGTGGCTGCCAGGCTGCTGGTTTTCTGAGTCACTGTGGTTCTGAGTCTGTTGGTTTTCAAGGCCAACACAGAGCTGGGGAGAACGAGATAGAAACAGGGCGAGGTAAGTGCCACAAAGCTTACTCTTCTTATGAGATTCAGCCTTTTTTCTTGAATAAGTGCTGTTCCTTGTTGCAAATCTTTGGTTAATTTCCAGAGTTTTGAAAGTGCCGATTTTGAGGGGGAGTTTTTGCCTGTGTTCTCACGGCCTCTGTGCAGGGCCGGGGGCGGGGGGGGGGCGGGGGGAGCAGGTATTCAGAGGCCTCCGCCATGTGCTCCGGAAGTGCTTCCTCTGTGACATGCTGGCGCCTTCAGGGCCTGCTGAGGGATATTCGGTTTTGGTCCCAGCCTGCTGTGCTTTTTGCCTCATCTATTTTCTCCTGCCTTTTCACTTTGTTAGCCCCTGGGTCTTCTTGGAGCAGGCGCTCTCTCCTTGTTAATATGCTACTTCTAATGTCCTGTGAGGTTAATGATCAAATAGCCAAACTGGTTAGCAATGGGGAGAACAGGTTTGGATGGCCTGCTGCAAAGTGTGAGGACTTTGTGACACTGTGGCTGCTTAGAAGTCATTTTGGCTTTTTCTCTCCTATGTTCTAAAAACGAAGCATCGAGATATCTGAATTGAGAAGACGGGAGTTGGTGATGCACAGCTCATGGGAGGAAACAGTCCTGCCAATACTTGCTGAGTCAGATTTCATCCACAGCAATACACCTAACTCTGGGAAACGTGTTTTAAGATAACCTTGACCGAATGGGAGTTCGAAGGTAACAATAACCAGGATGGAGGATGAGGAAGTTTTAAAACTATGCATATGAGGAATAAGTGGGAAGAATGGTGGTATTTCATTGGGAGAAAGTGAAACTTGTTAAAAAGAAAAAACTTACTGGAGTATAGAATAGGGGTGATATAGTAATAAAATTATGATGTCTCCTTCCAAATGACATGATTATGGCTAAAAGCACAGGGTACAATGGGACAGATCTGAGTCAGCATAAAAGAAATTTCTAACGATGGGGACTGTCCAATGCAGCAGTTGACAGAGCATTTATCACAGCTTAGGCCTGGGAAGACAGGGCTGAGTAAGATGGAAATGCGCTTCTGGAGCAGCTCGTGCAGCGAAGCCCCACCCTTAAAGCAGCGAAGCCAGGGCTCTGCGACCACCTGTGGCGGGCCCTGCGTTGGACAGAAGCCTGAAGGATGTGACAGCTGAGGTGCAGCCGGAGACAGCATCTCCCGAGTCTGGGGTGCAGGCTGGAGTCCCCGAGCATCTCCAGCAAGTTCGCAGACGACTTTAGGGCAAGGTAAGATATTCAGTGCGAGTCTAGAGACTCCAAGGAATACAACTTATTTTTGAACTATCTGTCTACTAAAATCTCTTAAAGGTCAATAAATTATGCAGGAAGTTGGGAGGCAAGTGGTTTACCTTAGGGTTTTACTGACACCTAGTGGTAAGTATGGATAGCAATATAATCTAAAATGTTAGATGATATATACAATTATTATAAAAATAAAAATATTCAATAGTTATAAAAATTATAAATGCATGTAGTGATAAAAATTTATGTTTTAAACTCTAATTTTGAATGGATTTAAGATTGTTTAAATGTTATCTTTAAGATATCTTTATCCTGAATTAACTTTTAAGTATCTTGATTGATTTTTTTAAAAGATTTTATTTATTTTATTTTTAGAGAGAGGGAAAAGAAGGGAGAAAGAGGAGAGAAACATCAATGTGTGGTTGCCTCTCGCATGCCCCCTACTGGGGGCCTGGCCCACAACCCAGGCATGTGCCTTGACTGCGAGCCCTGCTGGGGTCTCTTCAGGCCGCCTTTGTCCTAACGGCACTGAGGCCAGTGGCTACGACTGCTGAGCTAGAGGGTGCGTATATTCCCAGATGTACCCTCAGGCACAGGGGACGCCCCAGACCACACCCACAGAAGCCATGGTGCCTCGGCTGTCATGGTGCCAAATTACTTCTACCTCTCGGATGTAGTTTAGTGATGTGGGGATTTATGTCAGAGATGACGATCTCTATGAATTTATTACATACCATTTATTTTATTACTATGTAGCTTCTGTTAGCTTAGTGTTTGTTGAAACAACAGAAAAGAGCAGAACTCATAAGAAGAGTATTAGCAGCCATGGACAGAGACAATGCAAACTGGAACACTTTTATGCATTCGACAAGACATTTGCAGAGTTGCTTCCAGTTACCGGAAGCCTGGACTTATGGAACCTAAGCATACCGCCTTATGTTTTACCATAAAACGTTTCATGTGCTTGAAGGAATTCTTCATAAACGTTGATGAATGCAAAGTTCCCATTCACTTCTTTTGCACCAGACAACACCAGCCCAGCTCTCTGAGTTGCTCACAGGGACAGCGCCTGGACACTCAGTTACTTCTGTCTCTCTCTGGAACAGAATGGGGGCCGGGGGGTGGGGGCAGCTGGGTTCCCCATGTCAGCGGGGGGGCGGGTCTCCAGGCTGCCGTGTGTTTCAGCAGGCGGAGTTAGCTCAGGGGCTCAGGGCACAGGTCTGAAGGGTTAGCGAGGCGTCTGCCAAGCGCTTAAGGGAGTGCATTATTGTAAAGAAAGATTAGAATTGTAGAAGATAATCTCAAATCCTTTTTGAAAGCATTCTTAAAATGGTAGGTGTTTTAAAATCTGTAACAATAATGATCAGCAACAACCCTAATTTAAAAATGTTTTCGTCTTCTTGCCAAAATTAGTCTGGTAAATTTTAGGATGACCATGAACACTGCCTAACAAGACAGAACTAACCCAGCTATGGATAACAGGTGCAATTCCAATGTTTAAAATGCTGTTAATGCAATAATTCCTTTGAAGTTATTCTTTGTACCTTCCCTACAAGGGCTCAAGGTTGTTTAGAAGAGAGGACGCCAGACTGGAAGTGAGAAGGTCTGGGGTCCTGCTTCCACGGGGGCTGCTTAGCCGGCTTGGCACCGATGGCAAATCACCTGCAATCTCTGAGCTGCTGTTTTTTGCTTTCACACCCTCCCTCCTGCTGGGCTGGGCCCGCAGCCGGGTGCCAGGAGCCTGACACTCAGCACGCACTCAGTCAATGTTCGCTGGCCGACTGAGAATGAGAATTGAAACGCTGCCACGCATGCCTCCATGTAGAAGGGATGCTACGAGGTGCACATGACAGAGCGATGCATGGAAACGCTTTGTGAACCATGTAATGCTATACAGTCATAGAGTACAAGTCCTTTTTACAACTGGAGAAAGATATCCTTTCTCCATTGTTAAAACCTGGATGTATTTTCGGTACCTAACTCAAAAAGAAATTAAGGTAAATGTGTTTGTAACTGCAGGCTATTTCAAATCACTACAGCTCATACATCTATAAATATTCTGAGAGAACAGGCCACACGTACCTAAAGCCTCAGAAGACTTCAGTAATTGCTTAAGATTAGCATGACTTTAGAGAAAAAATATCTGATTTTTAATAGTGCAGGTAAAACCTCCAAACAAGTTCAGATTAAACAGTCAAATGTGAATTCCCTGTACTATAATACAGTCATAACATGTAATATCTTACCATATTTTAAAAAGAGATTTATATGTACCAAAGTTGAAAGGACTAAGATAGACTGTGAGGTGAATGGTGCAAACAATACATTTATATTTATATAAAGAAAAGTTAACGCATATATTTCTAGGTGTTCAAATACATAAATATCTTGAAAAAGGCCTAAAGGTACACACCTAATTAATGCAGTTGTTATGTTTAAGGAAGGGGCGGACTTGCCCAAGGGTGAGTGGGGACTTGGACTTTACTGGCATTGCCTCAAATTTTGTAATAGCAGGAATGCGAAAAAATAGATGAGAGAGTATTGCCAAGTCACAGAATCACTTCTGCCTTATTTGAGTATTAGAGATGGAAGGGGTAACTGTCTGCTAATTTTATATAAATACGGGTATGTTTCTTGGACCTTAAAAGAGGGTGCGCTACAGCTTGTGGTCACACGACAATTAGGTGTCCTTCCTAGAGTAAGTCACGCGGCGCCCCTGTAGAGAAGCTCAGTGGCTGACAGTGCTAATATCTAACATTAAATAATGTATTTACTAAAAAACACTAACCCACAAATTAGAAAGAGTAAGAAAAAGTATATTTGTTAGTTATATACAGTGATAATGGGAAGCTTGTGATTAAGCATAATTCTCATTAGAGTTATAACTTTAAGCTATTTCACTATTAAATAAATGAAGTATTTAAGTTTCACTTATTATTAGGTTTTATTACTTGAACATATTCGATTGGCCCGGGCCATTAGACAGAAAGCCTTGCTGACTCAATACAACACAATCTGCGTAGCCCAGGGGGACCCCCGCGGCCTGACCTGACCTGGTCGCGGCGACTCCGATGGCCGGCAGACCTCACGGCTCCCAGGCTTCCCTCCCGAAGGACTTCCTCAGTTCTGCTGGCTCCTCCTCTTCTTCCACGAGCGTCCTGTCCTGGGATGCCGCCGTCTCGGGGAACCTTCCCTCAAACGGCGCCCTCGGCAGGGCGTCCGTGCTGGGAAGGGACCACTGGGACTGCGAGGAGCTTTGTGCCCGGAGCTCATGGCCCACCGGTGGGTCTCTCCCTGCTCCAGCGCCCCCGGGCCCGCTCTCGGGTTTCAGAGACGGGTGCTTGAGCTCCTTGCGCTCAAACGCAGTCAGCCTCTTCTCAACCACATCACGAATCAACACTGAGAAAGCGGACATACAGAAGCCACCATGATTTTTTCTATTTTAGCAGTTATGATGCTAACAGATGAGTATAAAACATTCACCAGACCTCAGCCCTTCCCTTCGTCACAGCCTTTTATGTAAGATCATGCACTGCACTTACCTTCTGAGCCACTAATGAATCAAACGTGAATTATATTCAAAAACTATTTTAACAAGATATTTATAAAGTAATGACAAAAGATAATAATTCTGATCAAGTTATAGAAGAACCGAAAATAATATTGAGGATAAAAATTTGCACCTTGGTTAATATAATTGATATGCTGAAAAATTAAGAAAACTGTAAAATCAACATCTTTCTTCTATTTATTCTTCTACTGAAAAATTTTAGAGATGACTTTTAAATAAAATAACTTACTGTCAAGCACTGTCCTTCCCACCATGCTGTGTTCCATGGTCTTGTCAACTTCTTTCATTAGCCATGGAAGGAATCCTAGCTCAATATCTATGATTAAAAAAAGTCTTAATGATTGAGTAATTTTTATGAATCACTATAGATAGGAGGAATCTGTGCTTTTCCCCTAATGTTACAATGTGAACATTGTTTTCTTAATAGAAAATGTTGAATAGCCTCACACAGCATTAGTTTCACCATATTCTCTATATATGTTCTGGTCCATTTCCTTTCCAGTACAGTAGAAACAGTATTTTCAAAACTATGAGGCCTTCCTTGGGGCCAAAATCCCTAGAGCTGACTTTACAGGTGCGTGTGAGGTGGATCCGGGCGTGGCGGGCGGCAGGGCGGGGGCTGTGCATCTGGGGGAAGGACTGCCACCGGCACGCAGTGCCGTCTGGGACGGAGCATCGCCTGGAAAGCGTGCGCCACCGCAGCCTGGGGCCTCCCAGCAGCTGACGGAGACTCGGGGGATGCAGGTCAGAGGGCACCTAGAAGAAGGCCATTTAGAAACTAAGGGTATCCAGTGACACATTTGTTCAAATGGAAATGGAAATCTACTAGTGTGTAAGCCTTTTAAAAACGTGGTCCATTACGATATACATTTTAATGTTCAGAAGTAGCTTTTTGGGGAGTGGGCATCTAATTTTTATTGTTCAGTGGGGTGACAACAGCGTGATAGAATAGCATATTCCCTACTAGAAACAATTTTAAGCTAGGCAAGCATGTGTCTACAAGCTTCCAAATCCACGAGGGAAAGCAACGTTGCTGGCCTCTCTGACCAGAACAGCATGAAGGAGGCAAGGCAGCTGGCGTGGCGGGGGCGGGGGAGGGCAGCGCGCTGGCCCGGGCCCGAGCCGGTCAGCCTGAGCCTGCGCATGTCCCTGCCCAAGCGGTTGGGAGCAAGGCATTTCTTTTTCTGGGCTCCAGTTTCTACTTCTGAAAAATGGGACTTAATCGGCCCTATGCACCCCTACAGGGTTCCTGGGAGGGTCATGCAGTATCACATATGGAAAACACTGTATAAGTTAGAAAGCACCTTATCAATGTGAACTAATAATGTGCGCAACCTGACCTCTGCGTATTTGAACTATGTAATCGATGCATGTGAACGTTACTAACAGCTGCCCCCCAACACCGTGCGTCCTCTGAAACAGGAGCCGCGCACACAGCACCGTGGGCGTGGCGCTGCTGAGCTGGGCGAGGCTGGTGGCAGGGAGAAAGCGGGGACCCGGGCCCCCCGCCCGGCCAGAGCGGCTGCAGGAGGGTGGCGCTGAGGGGGCGCCGATGGCCTGGGCTGCCTTTTCTGTCTCCCACGCCCAGCACAGGGCCGGGGAGGTGTGAGCACCTGACCGAACGAGCGAGCGGCTTCAGTCACGGCCCCCAAAAGGTTTCTGAGAACAGAAAGTCAGCTGAGAAAAAGTTAATAACAGCAACTTACACAGAGATAGTGCTTTATAGTTTACAAAACTTTCAAATATATTATGACATCTAACTTCTAAATAATCCTCATTTCACGGTAAGAAAACTGGAGGACACAAAGGTATTTTATGATGAAGCTGAGTCCCAAACTCGAAGTTTTTGACATCAAGTCCACATTTCTTTCTATGATACAATGTTGCTTCTGAATAAAGACAAACTAACATTCTAAAACCAAGGTCTTTAGGATACACTTATTAGTAATAGTATTGACCTAAAACAACTACAATTGACTTTTAACTTGGCTTCAGAGAAAGATTCCAATTCAAAATGAAAGTGAGCAGGAGATAAATGTGAACTGTTTGGTGATGCTTATTGCAAAAGTTAATCTAATAAAGCGCCCCCAACAAACCTCTTTCAATGGGATCAAAAAAGTAGCCACCGTCCCGGAGGCTGTCGAAGACGGAGGGGAGGAGGTCGGTCAGGTAGCGCTGCGCGAAGGCGCGGGCGGCGATTTTCTCTGCCGTCTCCTTGTGCTTGTGCATCATGTCCCACTGCTGCTGCTTCCGGCGCTCCTGCCCAGAGAAAGCCCCGTCATTCTGACAGCTAGTAGGTACTGAACTCAGAAAAGAGAGGGAGTTTCTGGTACAATGCATCTCCTGATCCATTTTCAAATGACACAATTTCAAGATATACATGTTTGACTGCATGTGTGATATCAAAGGATTGTAAGTTATACATATTTTTATGTAGTAGTATCATAAAATATTGCTGGTGTGAAAATTATATAGTTGCTTAGATGTCCTCAGTGAAGAACTTGGGCCAATGAATTGTCTCATCTGTAATGAATTTTTGAAACAATAAAGTTTCAAAAACTTTAAACTTCAAAATTCATTTGTAATGAATTTTTGAAACAATAAAGTTTCAAAAATTATAAAACCTTTTCTTGTTGTTGTTGCTTCCTACAGGCCACACCCATAAAGCTAGTGGCCTGTCCTCTCTACGTCCGTGTGTCAGTGGGAGCCTTCATGTGTTTTCTAATTAGCCCGTTTTGAAGGTTAAAGCAAATATGAATCCAGATGATTTCTATTCTTCATTTTTTCATACTTCCTAATAGTAAGTAAACTGCAAAATAGTATTTGTTGATAGACTTCGCTGATTATTGCAACAAGGCTAATTTTGCCCACGTTTATTTTATATTTGTGGACAGTTCTGCATTTGTACAACCTTTACCATAAGCCACATGCTCTTTAAACCATTAATTATTCATTCTGGAGGGAAGCCGAAGGTCCGTTTGACGAGGTGCTAAGTAGACTCTCCCAGGACCTAGCCCTTCTGCGGGGTCAGCGGGACCGTGTGGGGAGTCACCTTCACTGTCACGGGCGCCCGGGCGCCCCTTGGCCATTTACTGTTTCAGTGCACAATGCGGGGCCACACTGCCTGGCCCAGGGACACCCTCAAAGACTCCCGAGCCTAGTATTTCCTAACTGGAGGTTGGTGGCATATTTTAAAAACTGGATTCCAGCCCTGGCCAGGTGGCTCAGTTGGTAGGAGCGTCGTCCCATGCTCCAAACGTCGCAGGTCTGATCCCCAGGCAGGGCACATGCAGGAAGCAACCGATTGACGTTTCTCTCTCACATCTATATTCCACCCCCCGTCTCTCTCCTTCCTTCTCTCTTTAAAATCAGTAAACATGTCCTGGGGTGAGGATTAAAAACAAAACAAAACTGGATTCCAAAACTTTATTAAAGGTTCTAAAAACCTATAATCAAAAAAATATTCTGTAGGGACCCATGTGGTTGTAGTGTATCCTGAAGGCTGTAGAGAAGAGTCTGGCCACCGAGAAGAGACCCAGGTTCCATGCAGATTCTGCACATTACCCTCCACTCACCTCAATACATTCACTTTTTCCTTCCACCTTTTCTGTCACTAATTCATGGCAAGTCAATGTATTTCTTTCACTAGGGCTCTTGATATTTCAGAGTGCCTTTCAGTTGGGACATAAATAATTTAAATTACTCCACTTAGGAATTTCTGGAAACTCTGTTTAGGTACCTTTATATATGCTGGAATCAAACAAACGTAATTCAGCTCATGAAGGCCCTATGGTACGTGGAACAGGAAAGACATGACCAACGAACACCACAGGCAATTTTGAGCACAGGTTGTTATAGAGCCAAAAGACGTCTAAGAAAGACAGATTCTCTACCTTTTCCTGGCGGTGCCGCCTCTCTTGCTCTTCCAGTCTCTGAACTTCAGCAAGTTCAACATTGCGTAACTCTTCGTATACATGCTGACTGGCCCGCAGGTTGGCCAACTCTTCTTCTTCCATCACTTCCAGAAGAGACTGCTCAATGGTCTTTCCCACCAGAACTTCTAACATCGGTCTAACTTCAAGATCAAAGTCAAAGAGCTTAAATGCATAAAACAAAGCAAATTTCAACTTCTAAAAAATTTAAACTGTTGACATGATTACAGATGTCCTCTATTTCCCCCTTTGCCCACCTCTACCCACCAAATTTTAATCCTAAACCAAACGTTCAACGAAAAACTATCCAGAGTGCCAGCAACGGCAAGGCACTTCACAGAGTGCTTTCTGTGCGCCAGACACTGGGCAAGCGCTGCCCGCGTCGTTTCCAGGCCTCGGAACAGCCATGCGAGGCGCACAGGAGAGCGTTTGCATACAGGCAAAAGTGACTACGTCAAAGTTACAGAAAAGATCTATGCAGTCATCAAGACAAACCCTCATACTCAACAATTTTAAGATCAAACTCTGAAACCCACGAGAAATATCCTTGTCTTTCTTACTCCCTACCTTTTTTACTAAATTTTTACGGCTTGTTTTCTGATAACTGTTGAAAAAACAAAGGAATAAGAATAATGGATATTGCGGTGCCTCATTTCTAGGATTTAGAAGCAAATATACTCTTCTGTGTGGCTTATGAAAACTTATTTTCCCAATTTCAATGACAGTTCTTCCAAACTCCTTCAGGTCCCAAACCCATTTAAGTCATTGCATGATGCGCACAAGCATTGCCTTCTCTTCTTACATTTCACAAACTGGCCAATTTATACACCCCGCATTGACATGGAAATACAATTATCTTTAGAACTTTTACACATAGGTTATCTTCATAAAAATTATATAATCTATAAGCAACTAATAGTAGAATCTTTTATACCAGAGATATTATTTTCCTTATTTGCTATAAGCCTACTTATAGTCTACTTAAGCAAGTAGGCAGACAACTACAAATAAAAACATTGCTAAGGATTTTTATTTCTTATCAGCAAAGAGGGGCAATCAGGACAGGGGTAGTTTGTGTAATTTTAACATCTTATATTAAAGATCATGGAAACTTAGCTTTATTGGAGAAAAATATCCTCCTAAACTTTGGTCTTCTGTCAGCAGAGTAAGTGTAATAGTTGTACATCTACTTGACACTATAACAAACTGAACCAAACTTTTCAAAAAAAAAAAAAAAAAAGAAAGAAAGAAAGAAAGAAAGAAACCCATTAAGTAGACTCTTTCTGTGTAGTGGTTTGTACTGCTATTAAGCCTTTAGCTAAGCCTAATTTTACCTATTTGTAATGAAGACAAAGGGAAGTCCAAATAATGTACTATACCTCTCCTTCTAGTATTTGGGTGGCCACATCTTTGCCAGTTTTGGCAGGAATAAAAAGTGGTGTTGGTGGTCTGTCCAAAAACGCATCTGTTTGGCATTCCATATCAACTTCTATTACGCGGTCAGCAATTTCTTCAAGGTATAATTCTAAGAGAATACCATACACATTGAGTTTGAAATTCTGGTCTATTTCAAGCATATATCTGTATCTGAAACTTTAGCTCCTTCAAAATAGAATGAAATGGATCAGAGAATAAAGAGAGTGCTCAAATTGTGGAAGGATTCAATTCACATGTTGTACTAAACATTTTATATATTTGGAAGACCATAGAGTCAGTCAGACTAGAATATTTAGTGAATGTTGAGAAAGCACTGAGCTTTGCATTTGAAAATGAACTAAAACGATAGACGCACGCGTATATAAGATGTAAAGTATAATAGGGGATGGAGAGCTAATAACCTATCTATATAACTGAGTCCTAAGATAGTAAACATATAAAGATTTGAAAGTTCCTGGATATTTAAAAAAATTATGCCCCATGCTACTACATTACTTGATTTTTCCTCTAGCCTATAGATTATAAATAGATATGTAAAATAAACTTCACCTTAGGAAGAATTTATATGAGGTAAGGGCTGTATGGTATCATGCAAAGAACATGAGAACTGGCATCACATGTTGAACATAGGACCCAACCAAATTACATCCTCTTTGAGCCTCAGTTTCTTCATCTGTAAAAGGGATCATAATTATCTATCACATGGAGTCTTTTAATAATAAAAGAGATACATAGGTAAAGGACCTGGTATCGTCTCTGAGACCTAGGAAATACTCAGCAAAAGGTGGCTACTACTGTATCACTTAATATGCCAATGATATAAATCAACATTAAAATTTATCTCTACAGAATTACAACTATTTGGCTAAGCACAGACATGCTCATTCTAGACTTGGCAGGGGAGGGGGGGAACTGTGGAATGGTTTTCTTCCTTTTGCCATCACTACCCAGAAATGACTCTGATGAATTCACTCACCTTCCTGGCCAGGTGCAAGGTGCATCCTGAGTAGTTACACACTCCATGGAAAACACCAAGTATTACCTGATTATCAAGGTTCTGTCAACAGCACAGCTAGACCTTATAGGTCCACGTAAGCCCCCCCAGCTGAGAATGGTCAGGCAAGCAGGAAAAGGCTGCAGCAGCCTGGGAGAGCCTGTGCGGGCCTGGGGCGGATGCCAGAAGGAGAGCAAGCGGGGAGAACAGAGGAGGCCATGGAGAGGGGGCAAGGGCTCAGGCCCGAAAGGGTTTACTCCGCTCAAAAGACCAATAAATGCCAACACTGAACTACACTGCTTTCCTCTCTTGCAAGTCCAACAGTGACTCATACTGGGCTATTAAGAAAAGTGAGAAATAATCCTAGTTTGAAAATAAATATGTAAAAAGAGCTAAGAGAGAAATAATCTGGTCATGAAATTCTTTAAAAAAAACCCCACCGATTTCACTCTGCCATGTGTACCCAATATTATTATTATAATAATAATAGTAATTCATCATCTATGAATTCTTTTGATGAATTGACTTCTACCAAGTGACTGGGGAAGTACTAGATAACATAACAGATACATAAGAATTATTACGGCCAAATGAAAAAGAACTCAGGAAACTGAGCAAACCAAGAAGCAAGAGGCCAACGGCCCGCTCACACACCGGTCTGCACGTCCATGTGCTTTCTGCCTTCCACGGGTTCCGGCGTCCGCGGCCTGAACTGTTCTTGGGTTCGTTTTTTCACGAGAGCCCTCTTCTTGGCCTGCTGTTGTCTCTGAATATCCACATCACTGAGCTGCCCGTGCTAAGAGTGACAGAAAAGGCGTCTAAAGTTTAGAAAATATTTCTCAAGGCATAGAACGCCGCCATTGCAAAAGCGATCCCTGAATAGTATAACAGCACCTGGCATCTACGGCCTCCTGATTATCTGGTGATTAAAATTCTATGTGAAAGATGTCAGATAAGAATAAAGGTGTCTGACAAAGCATAAAAGTAACTTCAAAGTACCACTGTTAAGTGGAATCAATGGGTACAGAATCTTATGTAATAAATTGCTTTTCCTCATTCAAGTTTTTTGTTTTTTTGTTTAACCATGATTTCCTCTCACTCCTAGTAACCTAGTATACTGGTATAACCATTTGGGTACAGTGCATTTAATATATAGTTAAGAAATTGAAAAGCACTAAGATTATTTTAGTTTTTCAATTATAGTTGACATTCAGCGTTGTTTTTATTAGGTTCAGGAGAACGTCATGGGGGTGAGGCAATTATATAATTTGTGCTCTCCTCAGTAAGTCTAGCCCTACTCGGCACCACACACAGGTGTTACAATATTATGGACTCTTTTCCCTCCGTCCAAACAAAGTCTGTCCAAGTGCACAAATTCTTTTGCGCAAGAATATCTAGGGGATTATGATTATTCCCACTAGTTCTGCACTATGTGGAGGTCCTTGATTTCGTATTTGCATCTCATTTTGAGATCATTCTCCAGTTTTAAATCTGTCTTATCCCAAGGCAAATACAAAAGCAGTGGAAAAATATGACAATGCTTTGCAAGAAAAAACTTTTAATATTTAAAATTAGAATTCTAAGAAATTTTACCTGAAATGACACTGTAGTAACATTAAAGTTCTTTTTAAAATTTTGATAAAGTTTTTAATTTTGATAGTCTAATTAATCATGTTCTGTACTCTGGACTGTGATTTGGGTGTCATATCTAAGAACTCTCTACTTAATCCTAGATACTGAAGGTTTTTCCTAAGAGTTTATAGTTTTTACATTTTACATCTAAGTCCAAGAGCCATTTGAATTAATTTTTGTGTATGATGTAAGGTTTAGATTGTGGTTCACGTAATTTTTTTTTTTTTTTTTTTTGGTTTATGGATGTCTAGTTGTTCCAATATCATTTGTTGAAAAGGCTATCTTTACTCCATTGAACTGCTTTTGTTCCTTTCTCAAAAATTAGTTGGGTGTATTGGTGCTGAGTTTTCTATTCTGTTCCAGTGGTCCATGTATCTATTCCTCCATCAATACAACCTGTTTTGATACAATTACTAACACCATATTTGGTATGTCTTAACATAGGGTAGAGTAATTCTTCCCACTTTATTTTTTTCTAAAGTGGTTTTAACTATTTTAGTTCCTTTGCCTTTCCATATAAATTTTAGAATAAGCTTGTCCTTTTAAAAAAGATTTTATTTCTTTATTTTTAGAGAGAGGGGAAATGAGAAAGAAAGAGAGGGAGAGAAACACCAATGTGTGAGACAAACATTGATCGGCTCCTCCTGTACGCACTCCAACCAGGGACTGGGCCCACAACCCATGCATGTGCCCTGACTGGGAATTGAACCCACGACCTTTCACTTTGTGGGATGATGATCAACCAAGAGAGCTGTGCTGGTCAGGGAAAAATAGGCTACATAAATCTTTCTGGAATTTTGATAGAAACTGTATTATACTGATAGATCAACTTGGGGAGAATTAACACCTGTAACGCGGTGAGGCTTTCAATTCATGCACATGATATGTCCTCCCATTTCTTTAGGTCATTTCTAATTTCTTTCATCAGCATTATGTGATTTTTATCTTACAGGCATGTTTTGATTTATACCTAGGTATCCTAGGTTTTTGAAATGATTGTAAATGATGTTGTGTTTTAAATTTTGTTTTCCACATGTTCCTTTTTAGTATATAGAAATGTGACTGATCTTTGTGTATTGATCTCATATCCTGTGATGTTGTTCAACACAATTATTGGTGCTTGGCCTTTTCATGGATTCAATGGGATTTTTCTATGCAGACAATTATGCCGTTTGCCATTAGGGACAGTTTTACTTCTTTCTTTCTGACATGGATCCAGCACTGGCTGGAACTTCTGGTACTATGATGTCTGGGAGTGGTGAGAATGAACATCTGAGGAGAGGAACTGCCTTGTTCCCAGTCTAAGAGGGAAAGCGTTCATTTTTTTCGCCATCAATTATGATGTTAGCTGTATGTATTTTATGGATGCTCTTCAACAAGTTGAGGAAATTCCCCTCAATTCTTAATTTGTTGTGTTTGTCATGAATAAGTGTTGAATTCTGTTAAACACTTATTTTGCACCAATGACCATGATCATGGGGTTTCCCTTTTTGACCTGTTGATATGGTGGTTTGCATGGATTTACACACGCTGGAACACCTTTGCATTCCTGCAATCAATTCTGCCTGGTCATGGGATATACAGCTCTTTTTATATATTGCTGGATTCTATTTGCTACTATTTTGTTGAGGATTTTTGTATGTACATTCCCATAGTAGCTGCTAGCCTAGAGTTTTGTTATTACTTTGATATTTCGTTGGTTTGGGTACTGGGGCAATGCTGGCCTCACAGAATAAGCTGGCAAGTATTCCCTCCTCTTTTATTTTCTGGAAGAGATTGTGCAGAATTGATTGGGAAAAAAACTATTTTTTTACAGGTTCGGTAAATTCTCCAGGGAAATCTTCTGGGCCTGGAGATATCTTTTGGGGAAACTTTTAAAGTAGAAATTCAATGTCCTTAATAGTGATAGGCTTATTCGTTTTTCTAGCAATCTCTATTTTTTTAAATTTTGTAAATGTGTTAGTCTGCAATAGGTCAGAAATGAAAAAGAAACAAACAAAGTGGCCCTTCACCTCACGGAACACAAAGCGCTGTTCAAGTTCTACTTACGCGCGGCTCTGGGTGGAGGGCGTACGTGTTGCCCCGGATCACCCTCCTGTCGTACATGATGTTTCCGTACGGCATGGGCTCTTCGCCCCTGTCAGAGAGCAGATTTCACACGATTGCTGGTCTCTGTGGGGTCAACTCGTTTTTAGTAAGACTTAGACTGAGATGCAAATAGTTTAAGGAAACAGGTTTTTGTCTTAGCAGGGGCGAGAAATAAGGAGACACATGGCTACCACTTATCGAATGCTTATCATGTGCCAGGCCCTTCACGTATGTTAGCGTATGTATTGCTCACGATAAGCTTCGAGTTGGGAAATACAATTCTCATTTGATAAAGGAGGAAATAAACTCAGAAAGGAACCTGCTAGTAAGTGTAGAGCTGGATTTAGGCTGTAAAACATTAGGCTATTTAACAGTAAAAATTGAAAAGGAGCCTGCCCCAAAGAACGGACAGAAGTACGTTTCAAAGACAGAAAGGCTGCGTTAATAGAAGCAGGCTTACTAAAGCAAACCAAGTTAAATTTCTCATTGTTCTTAAACTTCAGAGCTCTTTTAAAATTATATTGTTTTAAATAGTAATAAAATTTTAACTTGGGGCATAATGCTCAATAGTGGAAAATACAGTTTTCCACTATTGGGGGACAGGTGGAGACACACAGGAGCGGGTGGCTCACTCACGGCTGCACCACGCTGTCCCGGTAACGGCGGGGCTGGCAGGGCAGGGCCCGGGGCCTGCTGGTGTAGGTGTAGGTGTAGGTGCCCATGGCGCGAGGGGCGCGGTCCGTCAACGTGGAGGCCACGTCTGGGGTCGAAGCACTTCGCTTTCGATGGAACTTGGCTTCGACGCAGGTGGGCGCTAAGGCGTCGTGGCAGTCGGAGAGGGTTACTTTGTGCCAAGGGCAGGGATTCCGGGGCGCGAGGAGGGGCGGCCAGAGAGGAAGCCGGCAGGAAGGGAAGGTGGCAGAGCAGACGTGGGAGCTACACTCCGCAGGCTCCAGGCACCATTGAGCCCGGCCGCGGCGCCCGCATCGGTTGCCCAGCAACTCCGAGTTCCGCCTGGGGGCGGGACCTCTGGGCAGTTCCGCGGGCGGGTTTCACGCGAAGGCCCCGGGGCAGGCGTACTTCCGACCCTTGCCCCGCCCACCCGCGCTTCCCCGGCCAAATGCGCCTGCGCGTTAGCAGCTTTCTGGCCAGGATTCGGGGGGCTAGGCTGATCCTACAGCGTCCTTGCGGGACGCGGCGCCAATCCCGCGTGCCATTTTCGAGTGGGGCTTTCGGGGCTGGTGCTGTTGCCGTTCCCCAAGGTTCACGTGCTCCCGCTCCTTAGGGGGCCTCCCCGGTTGTTTTCTCCCGCTGCCCTGCTACTGCGTCGCGACCCCAGGCTGCTCACGTACGATCGATCGCACACATGTGGCGCCCGGGCTCCCAGCTCTGATATGTGCCAGGGCCCCGCAGGGCCTTCCCTGGTGTCTCCCAGCACGGCCCCCTCTCCTGCCCCAGGGCAGGCTGCTGCCGGGCCTCGCAGCCTTGCCTGCATGTCCCGCCTTTTCTGCTTATTGCTCTGTTGCTGGCACCTCAGAGGACCCCCGGTCCACGGAGTGACAAGGGCCGCCCCACAAACATAATACTGGGAATGGGGAGGGCGCTTTGTTGAGTCTTTCTTTTAGGCCCCAGGCTCTGAATAATTTTATATCACGGGGTGGTCTGCACCTAAAAACGTAGGCAGAGACTTTGGTGTTTATATTAACAACGTTAAAAATATTGTCTTTGATGTAAGTGAAGTATATGTTTCCCTGAAAGATCTAATTATGAGGAGTAGACTCTATAACCATAGATTCTGCTTCCCAGAAGTTTGCTTTTGTCTTCACTGCTTAGTGCAGTGCATACGGTCTTGGGAGCAGTCTTTCAACCCAACATGGGTGGTAGTAGTAGCACATGATTTATAAGTTTTTGCCACAAGGTGTCACTGATTCTTTGTTAGAATTTAGTAAGTAAAATAATTGCAGCACCAAGTACACCAATTTGAAGGTAGTTATTTACATTGTGGAAAGATTTCCTTTCAGGAGGGGCACAGAGGCTTCCTGCCTGGAGCCCCAGGCTAGGGGTCAGTGGACCAGGCCAGGTGTGTGGACTCAGAGCCCTGGGTTTGGAGGTAGGGACTGGAGTTGAATTACAGGTTTGCGCTTGGTAGCTGTGTCACCTCAGGCATAACTTAAATGATTCTTTGTTTTCTTGACAAAGACCACATTTTTGTTACTTTAGCCATAAAACATAATAGAGGCTGCTTTACCAGTATTACCCAGTCAGTTATGCATATCAAAAGAGATAGTGTGCACAACAGTGTTTAGAAAATTGTGTTATGTACATACAAGATTTAAAACAATTTTTATAAAAATTATGCATAGCTTTAGAGCTATGTAACTATTGTATTAAACAGTTGTACTGGTGAAGTCTCAGTTACAAATGGTGGAAACCCATTTGAACGTGCTTGACAAAAAGAGAATGTTTTGAAATGCATCAAGGGAGTTCAGGTCATATCAGCAATGATGGTGTTGTGAGGACAGCGGGCTTCAGGCATCGCTGGCATCTCGATTTGCGTGACACCAGTGTGAGCGCCCCCAGCTTTCTTCTTTGCTTCTGAGGTCTTTGTTCTCTGTGGCTCCAACTTGCTTCCTCTGCGTAATAGGCAGCATTCTGATACTGTGAAGGTGGTAGGACATCCACGTGCAACATCCTAGAGGTTGAGAAGATGACAAGCCAGAGATGGAGAAATAAATGCTATAAAATTACCTTGATTTTGGTGAGGGAAATACTAATTTGGAATTTATAAAAGCCATTGTCAGTTAATACTAAGCTTCAAATTTAAGAAAAACCCCGTGTTCTGGAAGAGCCTAATATCCTTGCATCTGCATGTCTTTATTTTAAAAAATTAGACAGTATTGCATTATCTTTTTCTTCATAATGTAAAGAAATCAAAGATTAAAAAAATGAAAATATACCCTAAAAGTATAGGTATAATTTTTTTTTCAACAAATCTTCATTTAAAACATTTCAAATGGTATTCTTTTAAACCATTTACAAAAGAAATGGTATTCTGATCTGGAATATATCTTAATTTTAAATCTATTTTTACCTAACTCTTCAGGAACATATATCACAATATTGTGAGGTGCACTTGCCAGTTATATATATTTAATTTCTTTTAAACCCCAACAAACAGTTAATTACTTTTTTTAAAAAAACCCTTAAGTAGTACCATTACTGATTTTTTTTTTCTGCATCTGCACTAATCAATCACTAGTCACATTAACTGTCTGTGAGATTTTATCTGAAAATAAGTTCTCCTGACCTGAATTCCCTTAGCAGGAAGCAGAAGCAAGTTTTTAAATAAACTTTCTTGTATTGAATGGATGGAATCTCTTCCCAGGCTTGAGATTATATTGAATCCCAGGAGGTGACACATCCGCAGTGAGTCCCCTGCCCGCCAACAGGGAACCTTCTGGAAAGTAGAGAGGATACGCTCTCCTGGAGGGAAGGCAGGCTCCCTCCTCTCCATGTGCTTATTCAGTGTCTGAAAACATTGTAACGTTGGTGGACTTGTGCTTTATTGTATGTATGCCTCAGCTGTATCCTTAAACATGCAGGTCTCTTTGGTAACTTTGGTAAAATTTGTAGGATGTAACTAGGGCTTCTAAAGTGTGTTCAAGGATTCTTTCCAAAATTATCCAATAATGTCTTTGTCCCTGAGATTTGTTTAAAAAGACAGGGTCGGAGACTCCTGGTTTAGAATGGCATTGACCGAAGTGAGATGTCTCCCACCTGTGCAAAGATGTAGACCAGGTGGAAGGGACAGGAATGTGAATAGTCTGTGCTTTAGTTTGAGAAAGTTTAAAATGCAGTCAGGTAGACCAAGGGTGAGGCCAGGAGCAATTGTGATGCTGTGCTTGTTGGCAAACACCAGGTCTGGGTTTATTTCTCTTATTGGAGGATGAGGGTGAGGAGGAAGAGGAGAAACATGAAGTCTATGGAGGAATGCTGTCAAACAGGAGAAAGGGGGCATGCATTTGAACAGAGGAAGACAGGTCTCAAGGAGTGGAACTGGTATCCCTAAAAGCACAATCTGCCCCCACCCCCGGCCCATGAATAAGAGCAAAAAGCCATAAGGAGGAGAATTCTTCAGAGTAAAAAGAACAATTAGATGTGATTAAAAGGGAGTGATATTATAGGCAAAAATACTTGTGAGTGTCAAGAATTGTGCTAGAGGCTGAGAATATAATGACAAATAAAATCACCATGGTTCTTGCCCTTGGGAGCCTAATGGGGTGGACGGACGGGAGAGCAGGCACCACAACCCAGTGTGATATGTGTGATAATAGGGCGGGACAGGGCGCGGTAGGCGCACGAGCACCTCTGACCCACACTGGGGTGATGGCAAGCTTCCGGTGTGGAAGGATGCTGAAGCGCCAATCCCCTGAAATTGTGGGGGTTGGCCAGATGCAGCGAGGGGGAAATGTGTTTGGGGGAAAAGTATACCATGTGTGAAGCCCTAGAGGTGAGGGAATGCCTAGAACTTTGAGGGATTTAGAGCCCTATGTGTCTGAATCAGAACAGGAGGCAGAGAGTGTAAAGAAATAAGGGATTCAAGGGAGTTAAAGATGGAATAATGGAATTCAAATCCACATTCTGGAGCATGTTGTCAAATGTCAAATTAGTGATTGAAAGAACCCTCCTGAGAAATGCCCCCAGAATCTAGAGGAAGAGGGTTCACAACACTGATCCGGCACAGGAGATGAGGAATGAGACAACATGAACCTCCCATCCCTGTTCCTGCAGGGAAACAACTAAAGACTCAGCAAGTGCTTCCTGAGTGGAAAAAGTACTTGAATATACAGACCCAAAGGGCTGACCACATCCCAAGAAAAACTAATGGCAACATTTTATATTACAAGGATATAGGAAACTGATCTTATGAGCATAGAGGCAAAATGAAGCAGGTTACCTTTCAAGAATAAAAGCACTCTGGCTTTAGGCTTTTCTGCAACACTTGAGATCAGAAGATAATTACACATTGAATGGAGAATCCGGGGGGTGGGGGCGGGGGGAAGGATGGGAACAATCTCACATGGAACCACCAATAAATAGAGTTGTGAGGTCATCCTGAACCACGATGGTTGTCTTCCAGGGCAAGGCAGATTTGCAAGACCATCCTGTCCCTCATTAAAAAATACTGCCCAAGAGGGCAGTCAAAATGAAAACCTCCGTAATGAGGAATTTATGGTCCACTGGGATTTACAAGGCCAACCTGTTCACTTTGGACCAAAATGCAGGTATTCCGTTGGCCCGGACCCCTGAGCTGTTCCCCCGAGGCTACTGCTGTTTCCCAGAAAAATGTATTTCTTGCACCATCTGCTTTACCCCATAATTTCACAAGAAATGTCATGTTTGATGACCACTTCAAAACTGATTTCACTCCCGTATCCGTTAATGTTGACCTAACTATTTACCTGGCTGAGGTACGATGCCCAGGAGAACCAACGCTCCCCCTTTCTTGAAGGGAGAGCTGAAGTGTTCAGGGTGTTGATAATTTTCACCTGCAGGGGCGCCTCGTATTTTCTGCATCTTTAAAACTCTGATGTTTCCCTGATTTCTGTTAGTTTCCGTTGGATAAGACTAGTAAACCATGGGTCGGTCCTTAAGCTTCACTCTGTCTTCCTCCCACCGTGTTATCTATGGGGTATTTTGTTATGTATGAGTACACAGGATGCTAATGTTTAGAATTGTAGCCATTTTTTTGTTCTTTTCCTTGAAGAAAATCTCAGAATCTCAGATAAACTAGTTACCATTTCCTCTTGATCTAAGAAGCTAGTGAATCACTCACTTCAGTAAGAATTATATTCTTAAAGACACAGGGAAAAAAAAAAAAGACTAAGAATCCTAATATTTCTAGTTATTATTTCTGCCTAACTAGTTCCCCCAGAATGAGGTGTCTTAAACAATAACCATTTTCTTACGCTCCCAGGTCCTGTGGGTCAGGAATTTTGGAAGAGGAAGCAGTCAGGATGGCTCGTCTTTGCTCCATGAGGCTTGTGGATGACTCAACCGGTAAGGCTCAAACAGGGGATGATTTGATAGCCGTGGGCTGGAAACATCGGGAAGGTCTCTCACTTCCCTGTCTGGTGCCTGGGCTGTGGCGACTTGAACACGAGGACCCTGAGCAGAGCAGCTGCCAACTTGCCCAAACTCAAGGAGAGGGGACACTTCAATGGGAAGGGTGTCAAGAGAATTTGCAGCCATATTTTAAAAACTACCTGGTAACACTTTGCTCCCGTTGGTTTTCCTTGACCCAGGTCTTGGAATGGTATTATAGGTTGAATTGGGTGGAACTGTGTTCCCCGAAATTCCTATGGTGGAGAACTTATGTGGAAACAGGGCCTTTGCAGATGTAATTCGTTAAATGAGAATGAGGTCAGCCTGGCGTGGTGTGGACCCCTGATCCGGCAGGACCAGTGTCCTTTTAAGAAGGGGGAATTTGGACAC